TGAGTTGTCTGGTCCTCAGTTGTGGAAGTTGAGATGAATTAGTTGAGGTGTGTTGTGTTGAGTTAAACTGGTTGAGTGGTCTTCAATTGTTGAAGATGACTTTTAACTGTTGAGTTGAACTGGTTGAGTTGAGATGGGATGAGATGAGATGCATGGACTTCCAACTGTTGAAGTTGACTTCAACTGTTTGAGTTGAAGTCCACAGGTCTTAAAAGTTGCCAACACCGCTCTAGAAATTGCGCAAGAATTACCGGGATCTCGCTCCAATAACACATTTCTTCCTCCTCCTCTTCTTCCCACTGTGACTCACTCTACCTTGCTTTGTTTCTGCTGGATTGTGGCTCCTGTGACTTCAGCAACAAACCCACCACCGAAGAAGTCAAGGTCTGGTCTCAGTCATTTGACAAGTTGATGAAAACCCCAGCTGGCAGGAACGTGTTTCGGGAGTTCTTACGGACTGAATACAGCGAGGAAAATATGCTCTTTTGGTTAGCTTGCGAGGAGCTCAAAAGCAAATGCAACAAGCGAGACATCGACGAGAAAGCACGAGAAATCTATGAAGATTACATCTCCATCCTTTCTCCCAAGGAGGTATGTCCTTTCTTATTTTATTCCCGCACCCCAAAATGTTTCACATATCAGTTTTCACTCAGTTGGTAATTGGTAGTCCCCGGGCCCTTCTCCGCTTCCCTTTGCAGTCCAGAAACTTTTCCAAGGTTTTCTCACTCCAGGGTAAAGTGTGTAATTATTAGGCAAGTGAGTGTTTTGACTATATAGTCATTTTTATGCATATTTTCCACCTCTAAGTTGTATAAATGAAAAGAAGGACTAGGGGAGACATGATAGCAGTCTTCCAATATCTCAGGGGCTGCCATAAAGAAAAGGGGGTCAACCTATTCTCCAAAGCATCTGAAGGCAAGACAAAAAGCAATGGGTGGAAACTAATCAAGGAAGCAACTTAGAACTAAGGAGAAATTTCCTGACACTGAGAACAATTAATCAGTGACTAGAACTCATAATCTCCTGGTGCTTGGTCCAAAATCACCCAGCCAGTTTTCATGTCTAAATCTTAGAACTCCCAGTCTCCTGGGGATTGGCCCAAAGTCACCCAGCTGACTTCCATGTCTAGGGCTGAACTAGAATTCCCCATCTCCTGACTTCTTAACCTTAACCTCTAGACCCAACTGACTCTCCCTTGATTGACAGTTCACCCAAATCATCTTGTGTTTTGCCCGATCTCCTCCTTTTTCTCAGGTCAGCTTGGACTCCCGTGTCCGCGAAGGCATCAACCGCAAGATGCAGGAGCCCTCTTTGCACACCTTCGACGATGCGCAGCTACAGATTTACACGCTTATGCATAGAGACTCCTACCCCCGTTTTCTGAACTCTGCCATATACAAAGCTCTCCTCCAGAGTGTCTCTCGGTCATCTTCGGAGTCTTAAGCCCTTCTGTACCATTGATAGAGACACCAAGTGAAGGATACAACAGGTGTTACTGGTTTTTCCCCTCCCCACTCTTCTTTAAAAAAAAAAATCTCCCAAATGAGCTTACAGAACAAAATAGACTGAAGACATAACCCAGCTGAGTTCTGAACACAGACAATAGTCCTGTCATTGGAAAGGTGACTCCACAACTTTCTGCCCGCTTCTCTTCCGTCAGAAAAGGGCCGGTGCCAGCCGCCATCAAGAACTCCAAACTCGGGCTTCTACTTCCATTACAGAATGTGGGCCTAGAGATGGAGAATGCAGAACGGAGCAAGTAACCAGCAACGGACTGGGATCTAGACCTCTGGGGTCACATAGCAGAAGAAACAGGCCAAAGCCCATATCTCCTGGATGTTTTGATCTCACTCTTGGATTTGTGTTTTTGTTTGTTTTTTTAAATTCCTTCCATGTTGATTAAGAATGATTTCCATGCTGTCCTTGTAGATGCAACGATCTTGGACATTTGGCGTGGAAACTGCGGTTAGAGCAATGTTTATGAAATTAAGAGAACTTCAGATGTTATAAAAAGTATGTTCAGGTTTTCCGCATCTCGAATGCTTTCCGTTCACAGTTTATTCCAGGTAGGATTCCCCCGCCTCAGTTTTGAGAAGAAGCAGGGACCTCTTCAAGGGAAAGAGAGAAGATAGGTGGTACTTGGCTCTGATGTGGAAGCTCTGTGAGAAAGACAACTTGAATATTAATTAGTCCCAAAATCTCTCCATCATTGTAGGTCATATAGTCCACACAGTGGTACCTCAGTACTCGTTGGTAAATTTGTTCCGGAAGACGCGAAAACTGAACTGTACTGAGAAAGCCATGTGACCCACTATTCAGGAAATAGGCATGAGGTAGCCAATGTCGGCAGGTTCTTGCACGTTAGCTACCAGCAGAAAGACAAGTGCCGGGACAAGATTTCTGCTTTAAAACTGGTCAGATACTGAATCCGGCACGTTTTAAAGCAGTCGTGTGCCAAAGTTATGACTCTGCGTGGACTACAGAGGGCTTAATGACCAAGAGGATCCTTCAGCCCACCATCCATGCTGTAGATTTCAGACTGAATTCGAGTTTTCTTCCTTCTTTTAAAAGCTAAGGGGCTCTTTTGCAGATGGAATTGTGGATCCACCAGGCTTCTGCGGAGAAGAATGAATGAATGACCCTGCCGTTAGGCCCAATGAAGCAGTCCCCAACCGGGAAGATCATTCCACAGGGCCGGGGCAGCTACAGAGAAAGACCTCCCCCGAGTAGTCGCCAACCGGCATTGCCCGGTCGACGGTACCCTAAGGAGGCCCAACCTGTGCCATCTTATAGGTCGTTGGGAGGTGTGTGGCAGGAGGCAGTCCCGTAGGTATCCAGGTCCCAAGCCATGTAGGGCTTTAAAGGTAACGACCAGCACCTTGAAGCGCGTTCGGAGACCGATGGGGTGCCAT